ACCCGCCCCAGAAAGTGACCCAACATAAGATTCTCAGTGAGTTGGTTAGCGAGGTGTATTTCGTTAGAACTGTCAAATAATTATTTTTACTCATTCTTAAGAAGCTCATACACGCACAAACTTTTGGTCAAACTTTTTGACGTGAAAAATATTAACAGTTTGACATTCTCCCTATACGCTCAATATATTATTTATTATATTGCGCAATGATCAGTTTGTGCCTAGACCTCGCCATGGACGCACCAACAGTAAAGAAAAAAAAAAAACAGACGAAGAAGAAACGAAAGTGAACTCGTTGAACTTTTTCTGTTCCTTTCAAAAATTCGTCCGTAATGGGTTGATCTTCTGCAGCTTGCCTCATACCACTCGCAATATTTGTCTAGAAGAGTCGGATAGGCATCATTTTAAAAATGTTCTTTCAGAATAATCATTGTTTTTCACTTTCCAAAGCACAGGTAAACTCCGATATACATCTATCAGCTCAAGAAGAATTTTATTCTCCTCTTTAGATGGCTCCATGTTGAAATTTTCTATCACGCGGCAAATAACAAAATAAAGTTTGCTCAGAATATTGATGGGGTACCACACATACACAAACAATTTGAAGGTTTGCACCAAAAATATATAATTTTTGAATATACTTAAAATTTTGACATCAATACTCTGAGGACATCAATACCAGTCATACACGATAAAAAAATTGTCAAATAATTTGACGTAAAACTTTTTGACCAAAAAAATTGTGTGAGTATAGGCTGCTTGACGCGTATGTTTGTTCCTCGTTTGTTGGTTTTTTTCCCCATTCGGTTGCGTGTACCCTACAGCGACCGATCCGGACACTGCGGGGTAGCTGTTTGTGTTATGACAAATGACGGGATCAACCTCACCTTTGTGCGGGAAAGTGACAATGCTCAGATAACACGTTCCTCATAGAGAGGACATTTCAAGCGAACACAGTACATACAAGGCATTAGGAGGGCAGGTCACTGGCGTCTGAGTCTGATGTGTTACTGTTCGGCTCTTTGCACTGCCTGTACGTCGCACAAGACGTTCAGTTTGAGTACAGAAGAGGGCAGCGATCGATCATTTAATACCGGGTGCCCATTGCGGATGGGATCTGGTCGGATCGGGTCCGGTCGATCTCCCGACTTGTCGTCTGAAAACAAACATATCTGTAATAGCCGCTTTGCGCCCCGAATCTGGCTTGCAAACCGACCCGATCCCCCAATATGCATCCCGTATAACGCTGGGAAAGAGCAGGACAGATGGATAGATAGGATAGAACAATGGTAAAGAAATTATTGAAACCATCCGAAGCGTTTTCCAGCCACCAGCTCTTACAAGACGTGCACTGGATTAACATTTGGAAAAAAGTATTTCACCGAGTACGTCTGTCTTTCTGCTGGGATGAAGATATGTCCATGACAAGCGGAGTCAAAGCAGCCGGCCTCCTAAAGGATCTAGCTGTGTCGATTGGGTTAAAAACTAAAATTTAAATATAGATTTTTTACGCCCCCAACCGACACAATTTAGATCACTACAAGGGTGATCTTCAATCCTGCCTGTCAGGATCAAACCCGGTCTGAGAGGGATACAACGCCCGAGAAGAAAGACCGAGATGTCAGATAAAAATGTTCCCTCTCGGGAATTGAACTTGGGTCTTGTGCGTGCGATGGCCAAACGCCTGCCCGTGTTACCACACATGCTTGTCCACAGGATAGAACTGTATCGATTGGGAGATGGGGCGTTAAGCATTTACAAGTGTTTATTTTAATTTTTTTTAGTTGGAGTATTACGGCACTTGCAACACAATACGGTCATATAACGGACGAAGAACAGATGTGTTACAAGAGTTAACATACACAGAAAGGAAGGAGAAACGATAGGAGACGATATATGTTTTTTTAGGAAGGCAGAAGCAAACCGCACCAGAGCACCCGCCAACCACCCGCCAGTTATTTTTGTAATCTATATTATTGATAAGATGCCTAATATTTCCATAAGGAAAACATAAGGATAATAGAAGTAAGACACATACTGCGTAGGTCTCTGGAACGTTCACTTAGCAACGCCAAAAACAATAAACACGGAAAAGACAACGAAAAGCAAACCAAGACGCTTTTCGGTCCGACTATTTGAGCACAGGAATACACATCGACAAAATGAAGGCCATTTCGTGCAGCGGAAAGCTTAAGACAGACGTTCAGGCAGGAGACAAAGAAGGGAAGCGGGGCGTTGTTAACCTAGTGGTTAGGCAGCCAGACTCGTCATCGTTCGGGAGCTCGAGCCTCTGCTCGGTCTGACGTTGTGTCCTTGGGAATGGCACTTTACACGAAATTCCCATTTGGCTCGGTCGTTTCGGAGATGGAAGCTAAACTCGGAGGTACCGCCTCTGAAATAACCTAATAGTGTTGAGAGAGGCGTTAAACCCATACTATTTCAGCATTCTCAAAGAAAGAAAGAAGGCCAACTAGTGACGCTCTCCAACCACCTGTGAGAAACACGTCCTTGTTTTGGGTGAACAACTGACTGGAAAGAGACAAAATAAGCAAAAGGGGAACAACCCATGCACTCACCGAGTCTCTCGCAGTGACTTGCTCTTTGCCTTCAGCTTCACCGGTCCCCGCTTCGCTCCCTCCTCCGTTCCCCTACTCAGTCCTCTGTCTCTGGGCCCGTGTAGAGATCTTCTCTTCCTGATTGTAGAAGGAGGGGCACGCTCCTGGTCTTCGCTGTTCGGAGATGCCAATAGCAATATTTTAATTTATATAATCAATACAAAAAGTACCAATAAACAAAACAACAACAATAAAAACAACAACAACAACAACAACAACAACAGCGATGAGTCTCAAAATTTGGAGCACTGGCTGCAGAGATGCCCCGCCACATCTCTTTGGGGGAGGATTCAGGGAGCTTGGACTGCCTCACCCGCTAACCAAGAGAGGCGGTAGCCCTGGCGAAGAGCACGCTCTTCGGGGCTCCAAACAATTCGCACGAATAGGCTCACACACACACACAACAAAAACAACAACAACAAACACACACACACACACACACACACACACACACACACACACACACACCCCCAACAAAAACAACAACTACTACTACTACTACTACTACTACTACTACTACTACTACTACTACTACTACTGCTACAACAACAACAACAACAACAACATCTACGTTTGTGTTTTTTTCTTTTGGGAATTTCGATCTGAGTGATGTGCTCTGCAGAATGCATGATGTATGGCAGTAGACACTGGTGTAGCTCACCCGATTATAACAGTTTGTTACGTCAAGTTTGAGTACACTTCAACGCCCTGTGATAGCTGCACCTTCACACACACACAAACACACACAAATACATACACACACCAGTGCACACACACATATACACTCCCCCCTCCCCACATACACACATGCGTCTTCCCACAGTTTGCATACTGATACAAAACAACCAACAAAAAACCCCCGACACAAAGTGCATAAACAAGCATGCACACTGTTCACACACAACAGACACACAAACGCACACACTCACACATACATACACACACACACACACACACACACACACACACACACACACACACACACATACACACACATACAAATAAAACTTATTGTCTTCATGACTGACCTAGTTGAGGCATCCTCCAAATAGAGGGCGTTCTGCAGGAAGAGCGAGTGGAAGCTGTCGGCTGACACATCCAGGCGGGAATACAGAGAGTCGAGCCTGGTCGGGGACAGTTTCCGCACCACACTGTCGCCTTTGGCCTTGCCACTAGACCCCAGCTTATTATTATCTTCCTGACTTGACTCTGAAGCCCCTTGACTTCGCTGGGAATGAGTTTCCTGCAACTTCTTTGCCTTCAAATCTTCCGAAAAGTCATTATGTGACACTTTGCTAGGTTTTGTTTCCGAGGTTCTCTCCCAGTCTGTCGATTTCGCTCGAGTGGCATTTATCGCCGCTGTGGTGAGGTTAGAGCTATGTTGGGACTGGGCCTTGCTCTCTGAGTCTTTATGTTCAACAATCTCAGCACTCTCAGTGGCAAAAGCGTCAGGATCAGGAATGGTGGGTGGCTTCTCCAAAGAGCTCTTCAAATGAGATTGTGAGTGAGCTTCTGCAACTTTTTTCAAGTCCCTAAAATCAACACTTCTGTCAACAATGGCATTGTCTGAGCTCTCCCCAGACTTTGGTAAGGCTGATTGTGCATCACCTATTTGCTCAGAAATAATACCGCTTTCTGGATCAGGTTTTGAGGAATTATTCAACAGCCTTTCAACAAATTTAATTCTATCTCCAAGCTTCCCAACTTTGGCTGCTCTGGGCGACAGCCCTTCAATAGAGCATGGATGTTGAAACTTTTCTGGGGGATGATTTTCAGAGGAATTATTGTCAGAACTTGATTGGTTATCGGGAACTAATGAACTGTTAGTACTGGAGCCAATCAGCTCAGGTTTATGTGTCAGGGTGTGAAGGTCTAGGGCCAACTCTGGCTGACCGACGGTCTGAACAGATGCGATTTCGTGGGCAAGTTCTTCTTTTTCTTCCTTCAAGAGGCTTCGAGGTGAACCTTTGACAAAGAAGGCGGAAGAAGTTAAATAAGCTCTGGTGTCTGCTGCCTCGTCTGCCACATCGTGAACAACTGTTCTCTGTGGGTGTTCCTGAAACGTGAGCTCTGCCTCGGTCAGAATCTGCTGGCCCTCTTCGGCGGATGAGCTATGAAAGTATACGTTGAGTTGATCAGTGACTGACGTCACAGTAGGCAAACCAGGAGACTCGATCATTCCAGAACCGGGGTAGGAAACAATTGGGACAGTTTTAACTTGGCGTATGTCCTCTGGGGGCGGCGGCTCTTTGTCTTTGGTCTTCAGGATTTCGCCGTGACGTTCTGACAGGCTACTGATATCAGCTTGTCTATTTTGCACAAATTTCACCGACGCATCCTTTACAGTAGGAGTTGTTCCCCTTTCGTCAGTTTGTTCAGTAAAAACATCCCCCGGGACAATATTGTTCATCGATGTTTCAAGTTTAAGACTCAACTCGTTGCTATCTCCTAATGTTATTTCGGGATTGCTTAAGACTCCGCAGGTCAGTGAGGGTTTAGCCTCCGCTTCGGCTTCTAACTTTTTCAGAACACGATCCTTACGAATGTCATGTTCCTTGTGGTGATCTCCGGCAAGGTCAGAGACTGAAGAAAGCTCAACTTCCGCGGGTGCAGTGACGTCATGAGATGCAGTTTTTTGCCCTTCTGAGTATAGACTCTCCGGAACATCCGTAGCGCCGCGACAAGAGACAGACACAACATCTGCACCTAAAGTCACACAGTCAGAAACGTTGTGATCGTGACCACATTGTTCACGGTTCTCTCCATCAACAGTTTGGAGCACACTGTCAGAGACAGGATCACCCCCAATTCTAAAACATTGCGTCTTGTTCCCGGATCTACCCCCGAATACAAAAGCACCCCCAGCCCGTGTGGAAGGCAATGAGACAGTAGATTTCGCATTCCCGAAACTGTTCGAAACGTGGTCTATATACGAGCGAAGGGGAGCAGGATCCCTGACGTCAGTGTATTTGACACTAGCTGTGATCTCCCTCTCACGAAAGTCTTGTCGGGCATCATATTTGTTCTTGTTCACATTAGCGACTGCAATTACTTCTACGGGATCAGGCACGGGGCGCTTTGAAGAAGAAGAGTCATATTCTAATGCTGGACTCCCAGACGCGTTCTGTGCAGGTTCGTGTTCAACGTGTAACAGGGTCTGACACTCAGAAGGGTCTCCTTCCAAACGGCTTCCGTTGAGCCCAGAAAACGTTCCTCTGTGACGGTTTATCTCGCTTTTGAAATTGGAACTGAACTCAGCAGACGATTTTGTTGTAGCTTTTCCTTCCTCACGACGAGCAACAGCCGGCTTCTTGTTTACACCAGAGCTAAAGTCCTCCTTCGTTGACTCCGCCACAATAGCCCGGGAAAGGCGCGATAATTCAGACGAGTTTGAAACAACAGAGCCCGACTGTACAGTATCATCCAGGTTTCCCTTTGGCGGATCACCGTTCTGTTTGACGTCACATTTTGGCCTCGGGCCCCTAGTCTGCTGGAGAGAAGCGCTGGCTCCCTCAGACTGACCTCCTAAGCACTCCTTTACACGCTCCCTGATGGCACGGTCACATTCGCTGGTCCGGGGCTGGCGCGGCGACTTGCTCAAGTCATCGGGTTGCGAACCTGTTTGCCATGTCGTTGTGTCATTTTGTTCATAGTCGGAAACTGGTAATCTGTAGAAGACAATAACATATATTTCAATTTGCTTTTTGGTTAGATGAACTGAGTTGTACTTTACAGCTGGGCTCCAATGAAATTGGATTGTAAAAGATAAAAAAGTAGAGGAGCAAAAAGTAGAGAGAAAAGACAAGCTTTGTCGAGTGAAATCCTTCACCGTTGAAGAATAACTTAAGAACTAAGATACACAGTACAACGATTACCCTACAAAAAGGAAACTGATATAAAAAACAAAACAAAAAATAACAGTTGTTAAAAAATAAGCCCCTAAAAATATTCACATTGGAATATTATCACTCACATGGCTGACAATGAGCAGTACAGAAAGAGAGAGAGAGAGAGAGAGAGAGAGAGAGAGAGAGAGAGAGAGAGAGAGAGAGAGAGAGAGAGACAGAGAGAGAGAGAGACAGAGAGAGAGAGAGAGAGAGAGAGAGAGAAGGAGGAGAAGAAGAAGGAGAAGAAGAAGAAGAAGAAGAAGAAGAAGAAGAAGAAGAAGAAGAAGAAGAAGAAGAAGAAGAAGAAGAAGAAGAAGAAGAAGAAGAAGAAGAAGAAGAAGAAGGAGGAGAAGGAGGAGGAGGAGGAGGAGGAGGAGGAGGAGGAGGAGGAGGAGGAGGAGGAGGAGGAGGAGGAGGTAGGGTAACAAACGAAAAAGTCACCACTTTGTAAGATGTAATACTACTTGATTCTTCTTCTCCTTCTTTTTCTCCTTGTTCTCCCCCTCCTCCTCCTCCTCCTCTAATTCCTCCAGCTCCTCATCATCCTGCTCCTCATTCTCCTCCTCCTCCTCTTCCTCCTTCTTCTTCTTCTTCTTCTTCTTCTTCTTCTTCTTCTTCTTCTTCTTCTTCTTCTTCTTCTTCTTCTTCTTCTTCTTCTTCTTCTTCTTCTTCTTCTTCTTCTTCATTTCTCCTCCTCCTCCATCTACACCTACACCTCTTCCTCGTCCTCCAAAAGGCGTAAGACCGAAACCGGGAATTCCCGTAAACTACTTAATGTACAACTGAACACAAAATATCCTTTGGCGCAGTTGGCACTCCGCAGTGAATATACAATGTCGAAGTAAATGATGGCGATCGCTACAAAAGGACTGAATTTAACTTAAACTTGGCTTTCTTCTCACACATTTGATCTTAATGAAAATACAATAGTGCAACACTACGTTTCAAGTTATGGGTACTGGCAAAGTTTCATATTTTTTCATTGAATAGTTTTTGAGAATATACTGTTCGCAAAATTTGGCCTTAGCTCCATTAGTAGTAAGATTATCATTATCATTTTTATTATTATTATTATTATTACTATTATTAATACTACTATTACAAGTATTATTATTATTATTATTATTATTATTATTATTATTATTATTATTATTTTTAAATTATTTTTATTATTACATGTATTATTTTTAGATTGTTATTATTATTATTATTATTATTATTATTATTATTATTATTATTATTATTATTATTATTATTATTATTACCTGTCTCGAGATGACACCGATTCAAGTTGTGTCCGACCTGTCCCCACAACCTCCTCGTTGATAGCCAGAACCTCAGAGTGCTGAGAGTTTCTCTCACTTGAGGTGTCTCTCACGTCTTCTATATAACTGCTCTTAGTGAATTCCCGCGGAGCAACCGAGGAAACGTCCCCGTCTCCTGACCTGAACGAGCGGCCAGTATGTTCAGTGTCTGCAGGGTTTTGAGTTGTGAGAGATTGTTCTGTGATCTTCTTGGTTTCTTCATGTTCCTTAACTGAAAGGTATCTCTGGCTCTCCAACGGATGAGCATCTGTATGTGTCTTCTTTTTGATCGTTTCACCACCTTCAAAGGGGTATCGCTCTTTGCTACTTGTCTCAATGGGAGCTGTGTCATCATCTAGAGACAGTGTCTTCTGGGGAAGAATTTGCACCGGATTGAGATTCAGCTTGGTGATGGTTTGGACGACAACCTTTCCCTCAGCTGTGTTAGCTACCTCCTCCTGTCCACCTTCCCTCTCCTCGCCTGGGGCACTGAGTAGTGGCTGGCAGACCATGGGTTGGAACTTCAACTTGCGAGTGTTGGGAATAACCTCCGTGCGTGCGGGGATATCGTCACAAGGTGGCGTCTCCTTATCGCTGAGGTTCATCTCGGCTACAGACGGCGCTGGTCTCCTAGTACATTTGCTGCTGTGTTTGGGAGGTTTCGTTGGTTTGAGCGGGTTCGTCTCCGCGATTTGGACAGTTGCATTGTTCGAATTTACCGCGTTTAAATCTTTCCCTTCATTCTTTTTCACTCTGTGCTTTTCCTTACCGGCAACTTTGGACGTTTCTCGCGCATCTAAAGTCTCCCCAAACACAACAAGAGATTTGCCTTCCTCTTCTTGCCCAAGAACAGAGAGGATCAATTGTCCCTCAAGATGTTTTGGCGCGGCGGCTTCAAGCAGAGACTTGGCTGTTCTTTCTGCCTCCTCTATAGAATCTACCTTTATGAAACATTCCTGTGTCTCTTTGGACATCTCTGTGTGTGTATGAACAACAGACGTATCGTCAATTTCAACTTTTCTACCTCGAAACAAAAGTTTTTGAAACCTTGCCAAGGCTTCGCTTTCTTCCTTTTTCAGATTTTGAAGACGGGCAGAGATGGATGTAGTTTTCCCCACAGAGGCACACTCGGAGAAGGAGTAGCGTTTTCCTGATCCCAAGGCCGGGCCAGTCGGGCTATCTTCTTCTGCAATAGGCTCTGTTTTCTGCATCTGGCTCTGAAAAGTTTTCAGTTGTGCTGGCAGTGACATCCGACACAATGAGTTTCTTTTAAAGTTCGGCACATGTGTTTCTAAAGCCGCAAGGGCGGGCTTGTTGTTCAAAGTCTCCGTCTTTGCTGCCACGGTTCTCAGAGAGTAGTCTTTCTTCCCACGTGACGCATCTGATTGTCCTAGGCCTCTTGGGCTATCTTTCTTGTCTGTGTGCTTGTTCTTGAGATTTGCTCTTCCTCCAAGCTTCGAGGACACCCGGGACGGTGGAATGCCGTCATGGTGGGACTTGATCGAAGGGGTTTTGAGATGCCCCAAAGTTGAATGTTTCGTACGATGAGAGTCCGCCAGGAGATTCAAGTTTGCTTCAGGTGTCTTGACGGTCTGTGTTTGTTTAATGTTAACCCCTTGTCTCTCCCGGGGCGACGATTTTGGAGTCGTTCGCAAGGTTCCGGGGAGGGCACATGGGGAAGTATCCTTGTTTGCGTTGACGGTTCTTGCAGGAAAACTGTTTCGGTGCGTCAGGTTTGTGGTGCTAGTGCGCGACTTTGTACTAGCCAGAGTCCCATTGGGCTCATGTTTTGCACCGATCGGAGTCTTTTGCTGAGTAGGCAAAGCCCCAGCACCACGAGGAGAACTTTTGGCAGGAGCTGCAACAGGGACCTCTTTCGGTTTTGAGGTCGACTGAGCCTTGGGAGCCTGCGTTAGCGACGGGCTCCCACGCGGGCTTCCCAGGACTGACTTTGTGCCTGTACCTACAGGATGGTCTCTTGGGCTGTGCCGTGTACTTTGCGACCTTGACTTTGGCTTGGAGAGACGGTCGCTAAGAGCTGATTGCGCCGAGGCTAAAACGTTGGTCCCGGTTTTCCTAGCACTGGGGTCGCTGCTCACTGCCACAGAGACAGACGTAGAGAGCGGGTTGTCAGCACGGCCGACGTACGACCTCGGGGAAACTTTCCGAGTTGCGCTGACGCGAGAAGGAATCTCTGAACTTTGCATGCTGGTCACCCGAACTGTACTTGCCTCTGCTCCGGTATCCGACTTTTGAGTCTTTGACGTGTCTACGTTGTTTTCTGTTGAAGTCTCTTCCGGTTTTCGTCTATATCGGCGGTAGTACAAGGAGGTGAAGGACTGATCATACGGAGGCTGTACAACTACTGCCTCGGGATGGGGTGCGCTTGGCTTCGGAATAGCTTTCATTTTTCCAACGATTTCTTCATTGACCTCTAAAGGAGAATTATTGATCTGTGGCTTCGGCGTGTGAGGGAGGAGAGACCTCGTGCCCTTTCTGACAAAAGGCCTGCTGGGAGTTGACGAAGCGTTTTCAGCCAGCCCGTCGCTTGAGCCCTTTTCAGTACGTGTGTTGGTGAAGGTCTGCTGATTATCTGGACACGTCAAGGAACGTTTGAACGTAGTCGACGGTGCTTGCTCCGGGTTCTCACCATATGACTCTTCTGCAGACACAGTTGTAGCGGACTTTATTCCTGTAGCTCTAAGATCAAATCTCTCGATGGGTGGCAGAGCCAACTGTGAGGACAGTTCACCGACCTGATGAGAATAGATTTTAAAGATCAGATAGTTGAAGTATCGTACACTTAGCATTGGAAAGCAGAGAGCATAATAATATACATTTATTTTCGCACACAAGGCGACTGTAAAAGCGAAAAAAGAGAGGGGGGGGGGGGGGTTCAAATCCCAGGTAGACAAATTCATGACAGTTGTTGAAACCCATACCTCAATTGGTCTTCTCTTGTAAATAGGTCACCGAGTACACTGAGTGCGAGTACTTCACACCTGCTTTCTTTCCATTGAATAAAAACGGTGTATAATAATTATATCTATGTTTTTTCATAGGCTTACAAGACAGACAAAGGTGACCAAAAATGACTGGAAGATTTAAAATATCACAGCGTTATATAGCAGGATCAGCGAATCAGCTTGATCTGTTGTAATGAGTGGCAATAAATGCTTTACTTCCCATACACACTTTTTTAGACAACTTAACGGTGGGCTACTTCGACCGTAGACATAATATGAGCTTAACCAGGCAGTCTCAGTCCAAACCAAACTAGCAGACGGACAGGTCGCTTTTAAGGACAAGCGAGCTAACCCAGATTTCGGGGGTTTCTAGAAATCTTGCCCTACGCCAAAACAGGGCATTGGCCTACATATAGGAGAAGTTTGGTTTCGTTGTTTGGTTATGGAGAAAACTCTCCTCGTCTTTTAAAGGAACTGAACAAGAGGTGAAAATTTTACTTACGATTTCCTCAAAACAGCATTTTTCGGGATAGGCCCCTTGTGCTTAAAAGTGACCATATAATACTCTTAATAACCCGATCATTTTTTTGGAGGTGATGATCGAGCTCAGATCGTTTGAGTTCAAAGAACGCAAAGGGCGTAACAAGTACACCACGACGCCGGAAAATGGTATCAACCATAATGAAAATGAGACAGGCGCAATATGTTAAGGTAGAGGCTACAAAAGGCCTTCTAGTTGTTTGCCTTCGCTTTGGAAGGAAGACACACTCATTGATCCAGCATGTAGAAAACGGCGAAAGTTCGTGATATAAATATACATGTATCTTTATTCAGAAAAGTTTCTGATGCCTTCGTCTCACCGCTTTTAATCCCGGAGGCTCACTAAAAGAGGTGAATGTGAATACTCTTCATGATGTTACTGGACTCGTAATTTTGAGGTTGCGGGTTCGGGGGTTCGAGACTCAGCTCGGTGCAATGCTGTGTTTATGGGAAAGTAACTTAATACGAATGTTCTTCTATTCTCCCAAAATGTGAATAGGAACCCGACCTTATGACTGAATATCATTTCGGTATGTTAGTGTTCAAACGGCTTTAACATGGCAGCTAACAATGTATCCTTCCTAAGAAGTTGAGAGTGTCTCAGAACTTTATCAGGTCTGCTGGAGAAATAACAAAGATTGTAAACCACAAACAACTTGTACTTCTGCTGAGCAAGCTATCGTTCGCAAAGTTTCTAAAGAAAGCCATCATTTTGTAGCTTAGCTAGAATGACCAGTGTGGTGGGACCTTGTGCAGAAAATGAAGCCAACAAGAATAAAGGAGCAATGCATTGTTTGTTGTTTATGTGAAAATTGAACACTTGACTAGACACAAAATCCATAATTTTAATATGGAAGACAGACGCAATGTAATCATCACATATGCACATTTGAGCATACACGTTCATGCCAGTTTCTCCAACACAATAGGAGCTACCCTTTAAGCTTGTAGGAAATGTGTTACTTACCCCCCCCCCCCACCCCCCTTCCCCCCTCCAACAGAAAGAACAAAGCAAGACAAAACAAAAAGACAGAAGCAGAATTCGAAACACTACAACTATATTACTCTCATTGCGGTGCTGACTCTAAGTGACTTCTGCTTGAAATGAAAGGATTTGTGTGATTTTCCGTCTATGATTTAGCATGGACGTAAACTAATACGACGCGTTCATATGACCTTAAGCAGCGGCAAGGGCCGTAAAACACTTACAAAAAAGACCATTACGCTTTGCTGAAGTTTATAGTTTTCTGGATTATACCTAAACAATGCTTATCAAACCAACAGATAAGAGCCTAACTTAGTTAGTACCTGCTGAGGAGTAGACTGTTGGCCTGCCATCCCCTGTGAGGCGTCACAAAGCTTCGGAGTCCCCCCGTCCCAGAGGGCCCCTGCCAGTGCACGTACCTCATGAGGCAGGACCTTCGTAGTTCCAGCCACCGCTGCGTCAACCTCCACAAGACTTTCAATCTTGCTCCGAACTTCCTTCTCCTCGCATACAATAAGATCTGATTCGGTACCCGAGGTCACGGCCGTTGACAGACCACTCGACTCGGGTGTCTGATGTGATGAAGTATGGCCTCGACCTTGAGCTGGCACAATATCTGTAGAACTTCCACTATTAGCTATCAAAGGATGGTGTGCGACGGACAATGTATTTGCATAGTTAATTTTTGGTTCTTTGTCGAGTGATTTGAGATTTTCACATGCGACAGATTCGCTGAACTTTGGAGATGACGTGGTTTCGCTTTCTGTTATTGGCATTTCCGGCTTCAATCGCAAACGATCTTTATCATCCATCGACCTAAAACCGGAGGATAACTTAAAACTGTGTTTTCTGCTTAAAGAAGTTTGAGCGGCGCTCGAGAGATTTTCGGCCTGGTTTTGCGCCTCGTGTCCCCGCTCTCCTCTAGAATACTTATCGCCTTTATCTTCCACAGGCTTAGCACCGCTATGAGAAGACATTTGAAGGCCCAGTCGCTCGGAGATATGCGCCAGTTGTTTCCTCCTCTGTTCCTTGTACAGCGCAATCCTCTCAGATTGACTGACGCCTGAAGGAATGGCCATAGCCGAGTCTTGTTTTCTGTCTGCATCATTTGCGGAAAAACGCCGGACCAGTGTCTGAGAACACAAAGCTCTGGACACAGTGTCGCCTGCACCAACTGCGTGTCGCTCATCGCTCGTGCTTGCACTACGCACAGGGATTTCAGACTTGGTGTCTGCTCGCGTCTTAGGTTCGATTTCACTTTTGTCGTCGGTAAGTGCCGTCACAGATTTGTTGCTTTCGTCGAAAACGCATTCCAAATCGCTGCTGACAATTGAGGAACTGACCTTAGACATGTCCTGGTCCTTTTCGGTGTCATTCACATTCTCAGTGTTTCTCTCTGCATCCAGGGTCCCTTTATTCGAATCAGAGAAATAAGCACCCACAGATACATTCAACACTTCTGGTTTTTCAGTCTCTTTGGAATTCATACTCACAGAATGTTGAAAATGTATATCATCGTTATTGCCGTAGACTAAGATGGGCGTATCCTCTCCCTCATCCATTCCTACCGTATGACTGCTGGAATTTGATGTTTCTTCCCCACGCCTCAAGCTTCCGCCACGCTTGGAGCGTCGGAGGTGTAAGCTCCTGGCCAACAGTCGGTCAATCTCGGCCTGATCCATGGCCATATTATCGGCCGGCTCATGCACTCCGCTGTCAGCCTCTGCACTGCTTACCTCCTGCTCAACATGGCCGACAGTTGTCTGAGCTGGACCTTTCTTTACGACCTGACTCCTCCCCAGAAATGAGCCAGAGGTCATATTTAGTCCTCCGCGGGCAGTTTCGATTCGAGGCTGCTGCTGTCGACCAGAAAACGATCCGGCCTTTCTAGGGGCACTGTCCCTCTGCTTGGTACTATGTTGTTTGATATCATGACTCCTGACGTCATCATTTCGTGTGACGTCATGCTGCTTACCATCACACGACCTGGCACTGCCCTGCTCGGCAAGTGTGACCGCAGTGTCGGACCCGGCTATACTCTTCCTCGGCCGTTCTGTGAGGTTCATCCACGCCGTGTTCCCTCTCTGGGCAGACGAGGCAGAACTTTCAGCCACGTTCTCTGAGCCAGCTGTTTCTTGTTGCTGCTGCTGCTGTTTCTGCTGCTGTTGCTGCTGCAGCTGCTGATGGGGCTGGTAATGCCGCTGTTGCCATGGCCCGCTCCGAGCCTCCTCCTGGTGGTTGACGGATGAGAGCCACCTTCTCATCGGAGTAGACGGAGTAGCCCTCGCCGGGATGTGATCGCTCTCAGATGTGTTTCTAAGGCTGTTTGACGAGGATAGCTGAGACGCATCAGCATTCTCAGCAATTTTATCCTTTCTGATGATAAAATTAGACAAACGAAAGTTAACTCTTCGAAACAAAAGCAAAAAGAAAAGAAGAATATTGACTACAAAAAGCAAAGAAGTAAAGTTAAACCAGTACCCTTTTGCCAAACATATGCATTCTATCAGACTTTATTTGAAGAGAGTGTTTTCAACTGAGGTATTATAATGCATTTTTAACCGTCTACCTCGAATGAAGAAAGACAATTGTTCTCGAAGGATATTAAAACTTACCACAAACAAACATGTTAACACTCCCCCCCCCTTTACAAACACACACACACACACACACACACACACACACACACACACACGCTCACAC